GTAAACTCAGTGGAAATGATTTGCATTTATAAAATATTTTTTGGCTGCCATATAAATGATTGGAGGAGGCAGGAGAGTCACGAAGGCTAGGTGCCCTTTGAGAAAGTCTACATGAGAGAAGATGCTGACTTGAATTGGAGTGGTGGCATTAGAGATAGAAATGAACAAATTAAAGATTTATTTTGCCTTGAGGTTAGGAAGGATTTGCAGAGAAAATAACAACTAACTTTGGAAGTATTTGGTGGTTTAAGAGCCATAGCTAGGGAGTCAGACTGCCCTGGTTAGAATCTGGCTCTGCTACATACTGGCCGCATGACAGGGCAAGCTGCTTCTCTAAGCCACTGGTGAAATGGTAAGAGTTAAAGAACCTACCTCAAATGGAGTGTTGCAGGCAGAGGGAAAAGGTGAATATAGAGTAAGACAAAAACAAGTGAGAGGATAGTGAGAAATGGTCTGAAAAGGTGAATAAGCGAGATCCAAAAAGATCTTTTAGGCTATGTTAAGTACTTTAGATTTTATCTGGAGGGCAGAGGTCAATTAAAAGGGAAATATGACATTCGCGATTTAGAAATACTATTTTGACTGCAGTGTGAAAGCTAGATTAATGAAGGGCCTGAGTGAAGATGGGGAGTTCAATTTAAGGAGCTATCATAGGACAAGTAAGAGATGGTAGGTTTTTATTTGTTTTAATTTTTAAAGACAGGGCTGGGTGCAGTGGCTCACACCTGTAATCCCAGCACTGCCAAGGCAGGCAGATTGCTTGAGCTCAGGAGTTTGAGACCAGCGTGGGCAAAATAGTGAAACCCCGTCTCTACAAAAAAAATACAAACAATTAGCTGGAGATGGTGGTCAAAAATTTTAGAGACAGAGTCTAACTCTGTTGCTCAGGCTAGAGTACAGTGGCACGATCATAGCTCACTGCAGCCACAAATTCCTGGACTCAAGTCATCCTCTGGCTTCAGCCTCCTGAGTAGCAGGGACTACAGGTGCACACCACCATACCAGCTAATCATTAAGTTTTTTATAGAGATGGGGATCTCATTATGTTGCCCAGGCTGGTCTTGAACTTCCAACCTCAAGCTATCCTCCCACCATGGCCTCCCAAAATACTGGGATTATAGGCATGAACCACTGTGCTCAGCTGATGGTAGATTTTTTTAATGCAATTAAAAAAATAGTTGTTTGCTATTTATCATTATGTCTCTAGTCTTTAGTTTTGCTTTTTTTTTTCAAGTGTCATTTCAGCAATTAAGATTACTTTTACAGATGAATGCAGTGGCTCACACCTGTAATTCCAACAAAAGTGAAGCTCCAACAGTTTTGAATAGGAAACAACAAAATAACTAAAGTAACCAAAAAAGAGACTGAAAAAAATCTATATAGTACAACTATATAGGAAAAGAAAGTGTTCCCAAACTCACTCAGATTTTGTAAGTGCTACTCCAAAGAGAGTAAAAATGACATATCTATAAAACAAGAACAGATGCTATGGAACAGGAATTAGCAGAGAAACTGTAGTTAATAGAAAATGTTATTGCCAAAATTAAGGACAAATTGAGTAAATCTTTCAAAAATATGAGAGAAAAGATAAAAATTATAAGTTCAATCTAGGGTATCTAGCATCCATCTAAAGTTTCAGAAAAAAAATACAGGGGAGGAGATGAGCAAATAATAAATTTCCCAGAGCTAAAGGCACTACATACTCAGCATAATTAATGAAAAAAGACCCTCACGAAGACATTAATCACTAGACATTTCATACTGCTATGGATGAAAAGGAGAAACAGGAAACTTCCAGAGATGAAGGGAAAACCATAAAGGAAAGAGACTTAACCAACATCAGCATTTTATACTAAAAACCAATGGAATAAGCTTCCAAAGATCAGTGGAAGCAAATTTCAACCTAGAATTCCATACAAAATCCAGTATAAAATATCAGAAGTGCAAATCATAAATGTACAGCTCACTGAATTTTTGCAAAGTGAATACATCTGTAAATAGCATACAGATCAATAAGCAGAATATTATCCCTCATGTGTCTTTCTAGCCACTCCCTGCAACCCCACCCTGCCAAGAGTATTGATATTCTCACCTTTTTTTCTTTTTGAGACCAGGCCTTGCTCTGTCTCCCATGGCTCCAAACTTGGCTCACTGTAGCCTCAGCCTCTTGGGCTCGAGCAGTCCTCCCACCTCAGCCTCTTGAGTAGCTGGGACTACAGGGGTGTGCTGCCTTGCCTAGCTAATTTTTAAATTTTTTGTAGATATGGGGTCTCACTATGTTACCAGGCTGGTCTCGAACTCCTGAGCTCAAGTGATCCACCCGCTTTGGCCTCCCAAAGTGTTGGGATTACAGGCGTGAGCCATTATGCCTGGCCTCTGATGTTGACTTTTAACTGCATAGGTTAAATTTTGCCTGTTTTTGAATTTTTGTTTGGGTTTTTTTGTTTGTTTTTGAATTTTATACAAATGTAATCATACATCCTGTTCTCTTGGGTCTGGCTTTCACTCAACATTAAGTTTGTGCATTGTTGTGTAATTATAGTTTTTTCATTCTTATCACTAGATATCACTGGTTCTCCAACTTTTTAGTCAGAATCACTTCTTAGAAATAATTGAGGGTCACAAAGAGCTATATGTTTATGTGGGCTGTATAATAGATAATTACCATTTTACAAATTAAAACAAATTGTTCAAGCACAATTTCTGCATATACAAGCAGAAATGTCACTGGCCATCAGAGTGATGACATCATATTATGTAGCCTCTAGAACATCACTGTATACTTGTGAGAGAATGAGTGAAAGTAGAACAAATTACATCTGAATATTATTATGAAAATAGTACATATTTCAAACTCCCTGAAAGGGTCTCCCTGCGAATTCCTGAATCACACTTTGAGAACTGCTGCCCTACAGTATTCCATTGTGTGAAAACACCACAATTTATTTAGCCATTCTGCTGTTTGTGGACATTTGAATTATCTCCACTTTTTGCCTGTTGCAAATAGTTTTACTTTGAACATTCCTTTTTTTTCTTTTCTTTTTTTTGAGACACAATCTCGCTCTGTCACCCAGGCTGGAGTACAGTGGCGCAATCTAAGCTCACTGCAAGCTCCCCTCCCGGCTTCACGCCATTCTCCTGCCTCAGCCTCCCAAGTAGCTGGACTACACGCGCCCGCCACCAGGCCCGGGTAATTTTTGTATTTTTAGTAGAGACAGGGTTTCACCGTGTTAGCCAGGATGGTCTCGATCTCCTGACCTCATGATCCGCCTGCCTCGACCTGCCAAAGTGCTAGGATTATAGGCATGAGCCACTGCGCCCGGCCCCATTTTGCACATTCTTATAATATGTGTCTTTTAATGAACATACTATGCATTTCTGTTGGGTATACACACTTAGACTTGGGATTGATGGGTCATCAGTTCAGTTTTGAGTGGAGATTTTGAAAAATCTGTAGGAAATGCAAGTGAGATTGTTAACAGGAAATCGGAGGTGTCTGTCTCTACAACTTAGGAAAGAAGCCAATGTTGCATATTGAAATTTGGGAGTAGGCCAGGCGTGGTGGCTCCTGCCTGTAATCCCAGCACTTTGGGAGGCCGAGGCTGGCTGATCACGAGGTCAGGAGATCGAGATCGCCAACATGGTGAAACCCCATCTCTACTAAAATACAAAAAAAAAAAATTAGCCAGGCGTGGTGCACTGTGCCTGTAGTCCCAGCTACTCGGGAGGCTGAGGCAGGGGAGTCGCTTGAACCCGGGAGATGGAGGTTGCAGTGAGCTAAGATCACGCTACTCAGATCAAGATACTGCAGCCTGGCGACAGAGTGAGACTTGGTCTCAAAAAAAAAAAAGAATTTGGGAGTCATCATTATACAATTGACAATGGAACCAGAAAGTTTGCATAAGATTGTCCAGAGCAGAATAAGTTGCGTAAAAAGGGGACCAAGAACTGAACCTAGGGGAATATCAGCATGTCCCTGGTGAATATAGGAAGGGAAAACCATGATTGAGACAGAAGGGGTTGGCTGGAGGTAGGAGAAAGTTGTCATTGTGGAAAGGTTGTGTAAAACATTGGAAAGTGTAAATTGGGCTTTGCTGTGGAACTCATTGTTGACTTTGGTGAGTGGATATTCAGCAAGAACGTATTGAACCTGTCCATGTGTCAGGTGCTGTTCTAAATGTGGAGGGGTGGTACGGTGGTGGTCAAAAAGGAAAACATTTTTACTGAAGATGGGTGATCCTTAGATCTATATAGTGACGGGCAGAGGGAGAATTTGGAGACATGAGAAAGTCAAGGCAAGGATCTTTTCCCACCTTCTCTGTCAGATGAACTCCTACTCAAACTTACGTGTTAGTATACAGGTAATGAATTTTGTTAGAGTTATTTGTGAGCAAGAGGAAGTCACTTCTGAGCAAAGGCCTGAGGGCCGCCTGTAAGAAAAAGTTGGGGCCAAACGAGGGGCAGTGGCTCACGCCTGTAATCCCAGCACTTTGGGAGACTGAGGCAGGTGGATCACCTGAGGTCAGGAGTTTGAGACCAGCCTGGCCAACATGACGAAACCCCATCTCTACTAAAAATTAGCCAGGATTGGTGGTACACACCTGTAGTCTCAGCTGCTCGGGAGGCTGAGACAGGAGACTCGCGTGAACCCAGGAGGTGGCGGTTGCAGTGAGCTGAGACGGGCCCACTACACTCCAACCTGGGCGACAGAAGGAGACTCTGTTTCAAAAAAGAAAAAGAAAAAGTCTGGGCTTCTTGTCAGCCCTTTAGATAGTTCTGAAATCCTTTTCACTGACTTGTAGATTGCTCAACAACTTTCCAGAAGATCTGACCTCCAGATAAGTGAAGTTAAGGATTACGTAATGTCTATTTGTGTCTCTATAGGACAGTGAACTGTGACTGCTTAGGGAATGTCAGTTCATTTAAAAGCATAGCTATGGGAATTAGAAATGGATAAATATTGCAAAATCTCATTTTATTCATCTAATTGTTTTGAGTAGCCATTCCACAGATTTTGAAGTACACCGCAACTGGCTTGCTATCACTCACAGTTTGCCAATATCACAGTGGTATTATGAGGTAAGTTTTAATTTTCACTTTTTTTTAAAGATTCATATATAAACTAGGTAAATATTACTGATATTAAAAATGTTTTCTGACTGTGTGCGGTGGCTCACACTTGTAATCCCAGCACTTTGGGAGGCCAAGGTGGGTGGATCATGAGGTCAGGAGATCGAGACCAGCTGGCCAACACAGTGAAACCCCATCTCTACTAAAAATACAAAAATTAGCTGGGCATGGTGGTGGGTGCCTGTAATCCCAGCTACTCAGGAGGCTGAGGCAGGAGAATCGCTTGAACCTGGGAGGCGGAGGTTGCAGTGAGCCGAAATCACGCCACTGCATTCCAGCGTGGGTGACAGAGTTAGATTCCGTCTCAAAAAAATAAAGTTTTTTTCTGCAACCATAGATCTAATTAATCTTTATAAAAATTGTGATCTCTTCTCAGTTCTGTCCTCTTGCACTACTAGGGAATTCCCTTACTTCAAAATGAGTTTCCCAGTCTATATATTGGGAGGTATAGTATCTACCACACTTTTTGAAAGAGCAATGGACTGGGAAAGAGGAAGAAGTGGATTCTTAGGCCTGGCGCTGCCACTATCTAGTTACATAGAGAAAAGATACTTCATGTCTCTGGGCCTTAGTGTCTCATCTGGCACATGAGGATTTGGAGTGAATTATTTCTAAGATCCTGTCTGTTGCTAATGTTTTGTGATTTTATGAGGAAAGGAATAATCAAATGTGATGTGTAGACATCAGGTAATATACAAACCATTCTCTCATATTGTTTATAAAAACACCACCTGTATTTTTATTTCTTTTTCTTTTCCTTTTTTTTCTTTTCTTTTTTTTGAGACAGAGTCTTGCTGTGTCACCCAGGCTGGAGTACAGTGGCACAATCTCAGCTCACTGCAACCTCCGCCTCCCGGGTTCAAGCGATTCTCCTGCCTCAGCCTCCCAAGTAACTGGGATTACAGGCACCCGCCACCATGCCCCAGCTAATTTTTATAATTTTAGTAGAGATGGGGTTTCACCATGTTGGCCAGGCTGGTCTTGAACTCCAGACCTCAGGTGAGCCACCCACCTTGGCCTCCCAAAGTGCTGGGATTACAGGCATGAGCCACTGCACCCAGCTTGTATTTTTGTTTCTGGTACGAATTACTAAACTGTGTGTAATACTTTATGAAAAAGAGATATCACTTCAGAAATTTCTTGATCAAAAGCAGTACTCCGCTGACAGGGAGTTGGTTTTTTTGTTTGTTTGTTTTCTTTTGAGATGAAGTCTCACTCTCACCCAGGCCGGAGTGAAATGGCACGATCTCAGCTCACTGTGACCTCTGCCTCCTGGGTTCAAGTGATTCTCCTGCCTTAGCCTCCTGAGTAGCTGGGATTATAGGCACCCACGACCACACCCAGCTATTTTTGGTTTTTTTTGTATTTTTAGTAGAGACAGGGTTTCACCGTGTTGGTCAAGCTGGTTTTGAACTTCTGACCTCAGGTGATCCACCTGCCTCTGCCTTCTGAAGTGCTGAGATTACAGGTGTGAGCCGCTGTGCCCGGCCCAGGGAGTTTTTTTTAAGGCAAATTTTGTTTGAGTTTTCTGTGAGTTTCAATACCATATATATAGTATTTTATATGTACATATAAAATGGAATACCATAACCCATGAGGTAGATCCTACTATCCTTGTTGTATAGGTGTGAAAACTGAGACTCAGGCCGGGCGCAGTGGCTCACTCCTGTAATCCCAGCACTTAGGGAGGCCAAGGCAGGCGGATCATGAAGTCAGGAGATTGAGACCATCCTGGCTAACATGGTGAAACCCTGTCTCTACTAAAAATACAAAAAGTTGGCCGAGCATAGCGGCGGGTGCCTGTTTTCCCAGCTACTCTGGAGGCTGAGGCAGGAGAATGGCTCGAACCCGCGAGGTGGAGCTTGCAGTGAGCCAAGATCGTGCCACTGCACTCCAGCCTGGGCAACAGAGCAAGACTGTCTCAAAAAAAAAAAGAAAAAACTGAGACTTACATAGATCTAATAAAATATACGATTCTAAAGCTTGTATATTTTCATATGATTTCTGTTTTCATTTACTTGTTAGCAACTGTTCATTTAACTAATGGTTATTTGATCCCAAACAATACGTCAGGCACTTACTAAATGCTGAACATACAAAACGAAAAGGATAGTTTCTATTCTCCAGGATCATATAACTTAGTGAAACAAAATATAATAGCATTTGTGTACCATTTTGTTGTTTATAAATATGTTTCATATGTATTATCTCATTTAATCTTCATAATACCTCATTTTACAAATAGGGAAATTGTGTCTCTAAGGCAGAATTTGAACCTAAGTTAGTGAATTATTTGTTATTTAGATGAGTAGAACTATGTCATAACCAAGTTTATCAACTCCAGGTTTCAAATTAATTTCCTTTAAGTATAGTTGACTCTATTTAAGGAAATTGAAGACCATGTTAAATAATTTAGAAGACAGGTTTTAGTGTTCTGTTCAGTCTTACATAGGAATTGTTCTGTTAATTTAGGGCACATTTTAAGTGCAACTGCATTTCACTGTGGGTGTTTTTTTTTTTTTTTTTTAATTAGAGACAGGGTTTCACCATGTTGCCCAGACTGGTCTTGAACTCCTGGACTCAAGCGATCCACCTGCCTAGTCCTCCCAAAGTGCTGGGATTACAGGCATGAGCTACCGCGCCCAGCCTCATTGTGCTGTTTTAAAGACCACAGAATGAAAAATTTTAAATCTTTGCACCATCCTTGTTTATTCAGTTACTTAGGATACGTTTGGTCTTCTTTTTTTATCACAGGCAACTTCAGAGTGGACGTTGGATTACCCCCCTTTCTTTGCATGGTTTGAGTATATCCTGTCACATGTCGCCAAATATTTTGATCAAGAGATGCTGAATGTTCGTAATTTGAATTACTCCAGCTCAAGGACCTTACTTTTCCAGAGATTTTCCGTTATCTTTATGGATGTACTCTTTGTGTATGCTGTCCATGAGTAAGTCTGGAGCATGTCATTTTGTATGGAAGATATTGAAGAAATATTACAGTGTTAAGTAGTATTAACTTATTCCTGATTTAGGAGGAGCAAAGTTTATATGATAGCAAATGCTAGAACAATGAAAAATTGTATTGTGCTTTAAACTACATGTTTAAATCTCTCTAGCTGAATCTTGTGGAAAAAATGGGGATAAGGTGGAGTTACAAGGCAGAGGTAGAACAAGAGATTATGAATGTTGTGAAAAGAAGTAGTCCCAAGTATAGTCCTAGGGCCATTTCTCCCACCCAGAATAGCTCCATATGTTTTTCTTTGCTTCCTTGCAGCAGGCCCCCAGAGGCTTCCGTCACCTACCCTATCTTGGGGGATGCACATGGTACATGCACGGTAGCGCACACATATGCATTGTGCTAACCACCAAAGCCTGCTTTTACTGAGCTTTCATTCTAGTAAACTCAAAAAATTTCGCTGAGTGCTTTTAGTTGTTTCCGTATGCTTTCCTTCATGAAGACTCTTTATTATTTTAAATTATGCTTATGTTTTAAATTTTTGTTTTATAACTTCTACTTATAAGTTAATTTTAAGTATTGAATACACATATATAGAATGTCTTGCACAGTGACTTCCAAGTACTAAGTTTCAGTTTCAGTTAATGTCAGTTTCCATTCTTTCCTAATTTTTTTTTTCCCCCAAGATGGAATCTTGCTCTGTCGCCCAGGCTGGAGTGCTGTGGCACGATCTCAGCTCACTATAAAACTCCACCTTCTGGGTTCAAGCAATTCTCTTGCCTCAGCCTCCTGAGTAGCTGGGATTACAGGTGCACACCACCATGGCAGGCTAATTTTTGTATTTTTAGTAGAGACAGGGTTTCACCATGTTAGCCAGGCTGATATTGAACTCCTGACCTCGTGATCCACCCACCTCGGCCTCCCAAAGTGCTGGGATTACAGGCGTGAGCCGCTGTGCCAGCGTCATTCTTTCCTAATTCTTAAGCTTGCTGATGTGATTGTGACAGAACAGGGACTAGTGTTCATTTAATGACCCTTGTCATAAATGGATCGTTTCTGTTTGTGAGGCCCTCTACACTGAACCCTTGCCCCAGTCAGTAAAGAGTCCCTTGGGAATGTCTTAACCCTTGCACATTCTCATGGAATAATCCCGTTTGAAACCCTTCCTTTCAATCTGTTTATGACCTGGCAAGAGTTGAAAGGGAAAGTAATTTTTAGTATACTCTTTTTAACTCAAAATGTTTGAATTCAGGCTTCCAGGGAAAGAGTATACCAGCACAAAGGGAGAGGAAATAGAATTCATTTCCATCTACAAAGTAGAGGGAATAGTTAAAAAGGTTGTTGAAAAGCCGGGCATAGTGGCTCATGCCTGTAACCCCAGCATTTTGGGAGGCCAAGGCTAGTGTACTGCTTGAGCTCAGGAGTTTGAGACCAGCCTGGGTACCATGGTGAAACCCTGCCTCTACAAAAAATACAAAAATTAGCCAGCTCTGGTTGCCGAGGACTGTTGTCCCAGCTACTTGGGAGGCTGAGGCAGAGGATCTCTTGAACCTGAGAGGTCAAGGCTGCGGTGAGCTGTGATTACGCCACTGCACTCCATCCTGGGCAACAGGCTGAGACCCTGTCTCAAAAAAAAAAAAAAAAAAAAAAAAAAATTGAAATCTGTGTGTCAGTTCCCAGAACCAAGCATGATATACAGATTATTAACTTACTGAATTTTCTCAATGACCCTATAAGTTTATTGCCTCTTCATGAGGGAACTGAGGCTCCATAGGGGAAAAGGAGGATACCTTTGCTAGTCCCCCTTTAATTGCATCTATTATTTGTTTTAGATTTATAATGTTAGAATTTGCCACTATTCAAATGTAACACATTTTAAATATCGTCCATTGTAAAAACTTTGGAAAAGCACACACATGCAAAGTAAAAATGATTCATACTCCCCCACCTGTACTAACCACTATTAACATTTTGGTGTATGTTAGTTTAGTCTCTTTTCTGTGTTCGAATATAATTTTCATAGAATAAAAATAGGATTTTACTGTTTTGTCACCTGCTGTTGTCACTTAGTAATATATCTCAACATTTAAATGATATGCATTTTTACATAAGGGTTTTTAAATTATCATTTGGACCGTCAGGAGCTGCACACTTGCAGTTCTGTTCTTAATTTGGCTGGTATTATGTGATACATAATTTAGAGTGCTAAATCAGCCTGGTCTGCAGTTTCTACTCTTAAGGACTGAAATAATGTATGCTTTCTCAATTTTCAAAATCCCTACTTTGGGGTTTACGTGACTTTTTATTTTTAATTTTATTAAATGAAGACTTTGTTTTAGCTATCAGCATAGCTTAGAAAAAGACATGGAATAGGCCCTGAAGTCCTTGTTTGTGCTACCCCCCCCTTTTTTTTTTTTTTTTCAAGTGACAAGGTCTTACTATGTCTCCCAGGCTGGCCTCAGACTCCCAAGCTCAAATGGTCCTCTCATTTCATCTTCCTTAGTAGCCAGGCACCTGCCACCCTGCTCAGCTTGCTGTGACCTTTTTAAGAAATCAAGAATGGCATGGACTTTGGGATGCCAGTACAGGAGGATCGCTTGAGCCCAGGAGTTCGAGATCAGCCTGGGCAACATAGTGATACCCTATCCCTTCAAAAAAAAAAAAAAAAAAAATTGGGAAAAAAAAAAAAAAAAAAAGAATGGCATGTAGTTTGTCAGGAATGACTAATGTATCATAGTTTACTCTGCAGAAGTGATGTTCCTGTGAAGAGCAAAGTTGTTTCTGTTTCTTTCCTAATGTTTCAATGTAGGTGCTGTAAATGCATTGATGGAAAAAAAGTGGGTAAAGAACTTACAGAAAAGCCAAAATTTATTCTATCGGTATTACTTCTGTGGAACTTCGGGTTATTAATTGTGGATCGTATCCTTGATATTCTTTGTACTATTCCCTTACTTATTCTGATATATACAATATAAGATTAATGTTTTCTGTAATAATGATTGGAGATGTGAGCTGCTTCTGAAAATGGGTGTGGGGTGGGTTAGTAGGCTTACTTAACTGTGTGGTCTCTGCCCAACTTCACTGGACTCTAAGGTTAGAGTATTTCATTTCTGAAAAATTAGTGGGATATGTGAGAACCAGCTAAATCATCAATAAAACAATGTACTGAGATTGTGAACTATTTTTAGATTAATCTGATATATATATTCAATAGTTTTATAACATGTTATTCCAAATACCTTTAATTGGAAAAGGCATATCACAGTGTGCTTGTGGGAATGGTCAGGCATTCGTGCTTTTCTACCATCTTGGCTTACCACATATTAAAAGGCAAAGTTTTTAAATTCAAGGCTTCTGAATGTAATTAAAATCCTCGTAATGGATGCTAATAGTTGCAATTTTCATAAAGGTAGCCTGGTGTGGAGGAAAGCACCCAGACTCTGGTTTCAGTGTAACCTGAACTCAAATCTTAGTTGCCATCAGCAGCTTTAGGACCATGAGTGGATGAATGTCTCTGAGGCTTAATCTCTTAATCTCTAAAGTATCTCTAAAGAGGATAATTCTAAATACCTCACAGGTTCATTGTGAGGCTTAATACATAAGATTGTATATGTCCTATGAACAATGCAATGCTGCATGCAGGTGGCTTTACTAGCAGTTAGGTCCCTTCCTTTCTCATCCCTAATTCTAAAAAACAAATAAAAAACTTCTTGCCTCTTAGCTGTGGGGCCTTTAAGGTAGAAAAGGTAGGAAAAACCTGGGAAAGTTTTGTTTTTCTTCTTAAACATAAATTTCTTTTTAAATGAAAAAAATATGTATATTTTAAATCATCATCTAGTCTAAGATGTCATTGAACATAAGTTTCTTTCCTTTTTTTTTTTTTTTTTTTTTTTTTGAGACAGTCTTGCTCTGTCACCCAGACTGGAGTGCAGTGGCACAATCTCAGCTCACTGCAATGTCCACCTCCTGGGTTCAAGTGATTCTTGTGCTTCAGCCTCCCAAGTAGCTGGGACTACAGTTGTGTGCCACAACATCTAAGTTTTGTATTTTTGGTAGAGATGGGGGTTTGCCATGTTATCCAGGCTGGTCTTAAACGCCTGGTCTCACATGATGTACCCATGTCAGCCTCCCAAAGTGCTGGGATTGCAGGTGTGAGCCACCACGCCCCCACATGTAAGTTTCAACTAAAGATTTGACTATGGTGTTTGCTTTGGCAAAATGGGAATGATACAGAGATTAGCAAAACTAAAAATATGTATTTAGGCCTGGTGCAGTGGCTCACGCCTGTAATACCAGCACTTTGGGAGGCCAAGGTGGGGGGATCACAAGGTCAGGAGTTCGAGACCAGCCTGGCCAACATAGTGAAACCCCGTCTCTACTAAAAACACAAAAGAATTAGCCGGGTGTGGTGGTACGCGCCTGTAGTCCCAGCTACTCAGGAGGCTGAGGCAGGAGAATCGCTTGAACCCAGGAGAAGGCGGAGACTGCAGTGAGCCGAGACTGCGCCATTGCGCTCCAGCCTGGGTGACAGTGAGACTCTATCTCAAAAAAAAAAAAAAAAAAAAAAAAAAAAAAAAAGTATTTAAAAAAAAGATTTGACTCTGTTTATAGAAAACTTATTTATGAGCAGTCAATAGTAGTTTTTTTTGTCTTTAATTTTGCTGTTAAAGCATTTGGAATTTCTATACTCCATCAGCTGGTATAGTTCATTATGAATTTGGTATCCTCTGTTGTCTTTCCTTGACCTAAGTCCAGATATTCATTTTCAGTACAATGGCTTTTTATTTGGATTAATGCTACTCTCCATTGCACGATTATTTCAGGTAAACATAATTGTTAAATTAGATTTTTTCGCTTTTAGATAAGTTTTTAGATTGTAAAAGGAACAGTGTAGTGGGTGATAGGTAAATTTATTTGACTGTTTTGAATTGCCAAGTGCTATAGACACTTTTATTGGGTATTTCTCACAAATTCCATCTTCACTTTTGACTGTAATTTTCTTCATTTAACAGATGAGAAAATTGTACTCCAAAAACTTATTAGCATGTGGCAGGCCTGAATTAAATTGAGTTTTTGTTTGTGTTTTGAGACAGTCCCACTCTGTCACCCAGACTGGAGTACAGTGGCGCAATCTTAGCTCACTGCAACCTCTGTCTCTTGGGTTCAAGCCTCATAAGTAGCTGAGATTACAGGTGCACACTTCCACACCTGGCTAATTTTTGTATTTTCAGTAGAGACAGGGTCTCGCCATGTTGGCTTGAACTGCTGACCACAAGTGATCCTCCTGCCTCGGCCTCCCATAGTGCTGGGATTACAGGCGTGAGCCCCTGGGCCTGCCCTAAATTACATTTTCTTTCTTTTCTTTTTTTGTTTGTTTGTTTTTTTTTTTTGAGACTGAGTCTCACTCTATCGCCCACGTTGGAGTGCGGTGGCGCGATCTCGGGTCACTGCAACCTCTGCCTCCCAGGTTCAAGTGATTCTTGTTCCTCAGCCTCCCAAGTAGCTGGGATTGCAGGCACCCACCACCATGCCCGGCTAATTTTTGTATTTTAGTAGAGATGGGATTTCACCATGTTAACCAGGCTGGTCTCAAACTCTTGACCTCAAATAATCTGCCCGCCTCAGCCTCCCAAAGTGCTGGGATTGCAGGCATGAGCCACCACGCCCAGCCCCTAAATTACATTTTCTTTGTCTGGTTGGGATAATTTATGTATGAATGAAATCTCGAGCAGCAGTCTTTACAATATAATAACTATGATGGTGGTACTTTACTATCAGCAGCATTAAGATTAATGTAATAGAAGGGGATTTGGAATCAGAAGAACTGTGTGTAATCCTGACTAATGTTAATGAGCTATGCAACTCAGGGCTTACTCGAATACATGGCTACTTAAGATTACATACATTCCATATATCTTTTTTTTTTCCCCCCAACGTCTCGCTCTGTCACCCCAGGCTGGAGTGCAGTGACGCTATCATGGCTCACTGCCTCCTCAAACTCCTGGGCTCAAGCAATCCTCTTACCTCAGCCTCTTGAGTAGCTAGAACTACAGGTGCACGCCACCATACATGGCTAATTTTTTTTTTTTTTTTTTTTTTTTTTTTTTTTGGTAGAGAAGGGGGTTTCACTATCCAGGCTGGTCTTAAACTGCTGACCACAAGTGATCCTCCCACTCTGGCCTCCCAAAATGCTGGGATTGCAGGCAGGTCTTGAACTCCTGGCCTTGAACAATCCTCCTACCTCTGCTTCCTGAGTCTCTGGGATTACAGATGTGTGCCACCACACCTGGCTTACATATATCTTATTGAGTAAACTTTAGAACCATTCTGTGAAGTTGTTAGAATTATTATTCCTCCTATAGAGGAGGAAATCAGAAATTCAGATTTTGGGGCCATCCTTTTGTACATGGAATCAAAGTCTTTGGGAATGGGGCTTAAGAATCTGTAAGGAATTTTGATACACCATCAGGCTTGGAAACCAATAACTGAAGGCAAGTTATTTAACCCTCCTAGCCTCATTTTCTCCATAAAATGAAATTTACCGCTACATTCTTAGTTGTAAAATGGGGCTACTTACCTCACAGGGACATTGGAAAGATCAAATTTGATAATCTAAAGTTCTTTGTCAACTATAAATGTCTGGATAAACTTTTCTCTTTTAACCATAAAAAGCCACATAGTAATTAGAATATAATTGGTATTCAGTGAATATTTGTTGGATGCTTGTTGAACAAATAAAATTTGACTATGGAATCAGCTAGACCTTACCCAGATCTTAAATAAGTTATAAAATTGAAGAGAGACCTGGAAACATTCCCACTCTTTTTTGTTATTACTCCTAAAGCTACCTATTCTAGACCGTACCTGATGAGAGAAGGAACCTGGCCTTTCATGGTCCCTGTGGCAGTTTCCCCTGCAGAACATCAGGACTGTTATCTCATTTAATCCTTCCAAAATTTCTGTGAGGTGGGTAGATTTCAGACTTTCTTCTTCTTTTTTTTTTTGGAGACAGTGTCATGCTGTGTCACCCAGGCTAGAGAATGCAGTGGTGCAGTCACAGCACACTGTAACCTCAACCTCCTGGGCTCAAACAGTCATCCTGCCTCAACCTCCAGTTAGCTGGGACCACAGGTGCACACCACCACACCAGGCTAATTTTTGTCTTTTTCAGTAGAGATGGGGTTTCGCCATTTTGCTCAGGCTGGTCTTGAATTTCTGGGCTCAAGCAGTCTGCGCATCTCAGTCTACCAAAGTGCTGGGATTTATAGGCGTCATCCACCGCACCCAGCCAAAGTCTTACTATAACCTCTTAGTTATAGTAAGCAGCTGGTTTTGTTTTGTTTGTTCTTTTTTTTTTTTTTTGGAGACAGAGTCTTGCATTGTCACCCAGGCTGGAGTGCAGTGGCCGTGATCTCAGCTCACTGCAACCTCCACCTCATGCAATTCTCCTGTCTCAGCCTCCTGAGTAGCTGGGATTACAGGCGCCCCACCACCACGCCTGGCTAATTTTTTGTATTTTTAGTAGAGACAGGGTTTCACTATGTTGGCCAGGCTGGTCTCGAACTCCTGACCTCAAGTGATCCACCCGCCTCGACCTCCCAAAGTGCTGGGATTACAGGCATGAGCCACTGTGCCTGGCCTTTGTTTGTTCTTTTTCCATCACAATACCTTTAGTTTTCCTAAGTAGTGTTAGGATCAAGTGCAGTAACTGGTGCCTTCAGCCTGATAGTGCTATATAAGTTACCTAATCTACAATATAAAATTTAATTGATATTTTTGGTAGCATAGCATCATATATATTTGTTCATGTTCTCATTCCCAGCCTTCTTTGGAAATCAACTTCAGCTATTCTGAAACTGTGAGGGGTGAAGGTAATTTAATTATCTGGGTTCTAATTCCTAAGTGAGAATTTGCAGTCTGTTATTACTGATGACATGTAGGATATGATCTCAGCATAAGGCTTAGTACTTGATAAATCTTCGTTGGAATAATGAATTTATGAACACACTATGCTCAGTATAAAAGCTAGCTGGGCTGGCGTAGTGGCTCATGCCTGTAATCCCAGCACTTTGGGAGGCTGAGACTGGTGGATCACTTGAGGTCAGGAGTTCGAGACCAGCCTGGCCAACATGGTGAAACCCCGTCTCTACTAAAAATACACAAAAATTAGCCAGGCGTGGTGGTAGCACCTGTAATCCCAGCTACTTGGGAGGCTGAGGCAGGAGAATTACTTGAACCCGGGAAGTGGAGGTTGCAGTAAGATGAGACCGCACCATTGCACTCCAGCCTGGGCAACAAGAACAAAACTCCGTCTCAAAAGCTAGCTGGAATCACTTGCCTATGTTTTCCTTATATTGGTTATAGAATATTTACCTTGGGCCAGGCATGGTGGTTCACGCCTATAATCCCAGCACTTTGGGAGGCCAAGGCAGAAGGATCACTTGAGGCCAGGGTTTGAGACCAGCCTAGGCAACAAAATGAGATCCCATCTCTACAGAAAATGAAAAAATTAGCCAGGTGTGCTGGTGTGTACCTGTGGTCCCAGCTACACAGGAGGCTGAGGCAGGAGGATCTCTTGACCCCGGGAGGTCAAGGCTGAAGTAAACCAAGATCAGGCTGTTACATTCCAGCCTGGATGACAGTGAGAAGAAAAAAAAAATTTTTTTTTTTTTTTGAGACACAGTCTTGCTCTGTTGCCCAGGCTGGAATGCAGTGGCAAGATCATGGCTCACTGTAGTCTCAACCTGGGTTCAAGCAGTGCTCCCACCTCAGCCTCCCAAGTAGCAGGGACTACAGGCGCATGCCACCATGCCTAGCTAATATTTGTATTTTTTTGTAGAGACAGAGTCTTACCTGTATTGCCCAGGCTGTTCTCAACTCCTGACCTCAAGTGAGCCTCGTGCCTTGGCCTCCCAAAATGCTGGGATTCCAGGTGTGACTTTAAAACATCTTATTACAGAACATTTAAATCATACAAAAGTAGAGAAAATAGTACAATGATCTACACACACACGGATTATTTTAAAACACATCCCAGATACTGTATTTGTATTTCAGAATGCATCTTTAAAAGTAGGTATTTGGCTGGGTGCAGTGGCTCATGCCTGTAATTCCAGCACTTTGGGAGGCTGAGGTGGGTGGATCACCTGAGGTCAGGAGTTTGAGACCAGCCTGGCCAACATGGTGAAACCCTGCCTCTACTAAAAAATACAAAAATTAGCCGGGTGTGTTGGCACGCACCTGTAGTCTCAGCTACTGGGGAGGCTGAGACAGGAGAATTGCTTGAACCGAGGAGGCGGAGGCTGCAGTGAGTCAGGATTGTGCCACTGCACTTCAGCCTGGGCAAGACAGAGCGAGGCTCCATCTCAAAAATAAAAATAAAAGTAGGTAATGTTTATTTGTATTATTTATTTATTCATTTTGGAGACAGGGCCTCACTCTGTCACCCAAGTTGGAGTGCAATGGCGTCATCATGGCTCACTGCAGCCTCTGCCTCCTGGGCTGAAGCAGATTCTCTTACCTCAGCCACCAGAGTAGCTGGTGCTACAGGTGTAAGCCATCGCGCCTAGCTAATTTTTTTATTTTTTTGTAGAGACAGGGCCTCCCTATTTTGTCCAGGCTGGTCTTGAACTCCGGGGGTCAAGCAATCCTTCTTCCTCGGCTTACCAAAGTGCTGGGATTACAGGTGTGAGCCACCACACTCAGCCTAATTTTAGTTTTTTTAATAACCTTTTTGTAGAATAATTTTAGCGTTCCAGAAAAGTTGTAGAAATAGTACAGAGAGTTCCTATATACCCCTCACCCATTTTCCCCCATTACCACCTTACATAACCATGGTACATTCATCAAGACTAAGAAAGCAATATTGGTGCATTTGAATTTCACCCATTTTTCCTTTAATGTCGTTTTTCTGTTCCAGGATTCAATCCAGGATACCACATTATTGCATTTCATTTACCCTGAATTTTAAAGTGATATTTCCCTTTTAAATCTCCTAGAAAAGGCATATGGAAGGAGCATTTCTCTTTGCTGTTCTCCTACATTTCAAGCACATCTACCTCTATGTAGCACCAGCTTATGGTGTATATCTGCTGCGATCCTACTGTTTCACTGCAAATAAACCAGGCAAGTTGTGGTGATAATAGCAAAAACATTTTCGATTTTTTCCTTACTGTGTTGACTTGGTGGCTTGCTTGATAAGAAGGTTTTATGGAGCACAGCAGATACCTCAGCGGCTGATCCCGTAAACCCTTTACCCACTCTCGCTTTTCTGCGCTCTTGCCACATCGTGAATAGGTTGGTGTACTATTGTGGGATACTTCTAGTTTTAGCACATGATATAGGTTGTGGTTAATGTTCCTTTCCATCTTCCTGGTTACTGATAATGTTCCTTTTCTGTAGATGGGTCTATTCGATGGAACAGCTTCAGCTTTGTTCGTGTTATTTCCCTGGGACTGGTTGTTTTCCTAGTTTCTGCTCTTTCATTGGGTCCTTTCCTAGCCTTGGTAAGCCTTTTTTTTTTTTTCTATTAATATATGTTCTTTGTTGGTGTTTAGAAAACATAATAAAGCCAGGAATATATAAAATAAGTAAAAGCTACTTTTTTCTTAGTCTTCCTACCCAGCTTGACTCCCCAAAGATAGGGTATTATTCCTTTTTTTTTTTTTAAAAGATGGAGTCTCGCTGTATTGCCCAGACTGGAATGTAGTGGCGTGATCTCAGCTCACCGCAACCTCCACCTCCTGGATTCAAGCAATTCTCCTGTCTCAGCCTCCTGAATAGCTGGGATTACAGGCGCATGCCACCACGCCTGGCTACTTTTTGTATTTTTAGTAGAGACAGGGTTTCACCGTGTTCGTCAGGCTGGTCTTGAACTCCTGACCTCAGGTGATCCACCCACCTCAGCCTCCCAAAGTGCTGGGATTACAGGTGTGAGCCACCGCTCCTGGCCCAATAGGGTAGTATTCTTTCAGACATTTTTGTGCACATTCAAATATGTATATATGTATACATGTATATGTTTATACGTTACACATACACAAACACAGAATTGATCATTATTTGTATATTCTGTACTTGTAAGTTTACCTACTTGATAAAATGTATTTGTAACAAAATCAATAATTTCGTAGTCTTACATGGACAGCAAACATTCTAAAGTGCATAGAATTTAACAGATGTTCAGATATTTTCTTTTTTCTTCTTCTTCCCTGCCCTGAAATCAACTAATTAATTTTAATTCTTACTAAAACTGAAATGCATCACATCTTTCATAGTCTTCCCAGCTCTCCCCTTCACCCTAGTAGACATGGATAAGCTGCAGTCTGTGTTTTGCTTTGTAGCTTGTAAATTCTTCCATTATTATACTTACAATAGTACGGACTGGTATTCAAAGTATTTTTATGTATATTGTCCCACTGGAGAGTGGACAAAATGAGACCAAAAAAGGTTCTGTGAACTTACATTGTGGTGAGCGTACAATCACTTACTTGAAGGAATAGAGACTAGAACCCAGACCCCATAACTTTCTACACACTATACCATAGGGAGTTCCCTAGTTCTCTTTTTGAATTTGAAAAAGATTGATGACTGTTTAATCAGTTTCATTTCTCTTTTCAACAGAATCAGCTGCCTCAAGTCTTTTCCCGACTCTTTCCTTTCAAGAGGGGCCTCTGCCATGCATATTGGGCTCCAAACTTCTGGGCTTTGTACAATGCTTTGGACAAAGTGCTGTCTGTCATCGGTATGGTAGCGAGCATTTTTAACTCAGACTCTGAATATTGAAAGGACTAGGCACATGGAGAAATGGAAGAACCTTTGTGTTTTGAATGTGGCCGAATTGTTTGTTCTCCAGTCCTGCATTTCAGCCTTCAGGATGAACAAGGGGAGCAGTTCTTGGGACTGAGGCTTTAGTGCAATAAACAGACTGTTTTCCTTATAAAATCTTCTTGTGGTAATGAGGTTACTGATCCTTTCCTGTGGAAAAAGTAAAATATTTAGACACTCTATAAAGGTAATTTTTGCCTTAATTAAAAAATTATTTGGCAGCAGCAGTTAACCCTACTTTTTTTCCCCCCTTCTCACCGTTCCTATTCAAACCCTTACTTATTTTTAGAGACAGGGTCTCACTGTGTCAGCCAGGCTGGAGTGCAGTGGTGTTGAGATCATAGCACACTGCAGCCTTAAATTCCTGGGCTCCAACAATCCTCTTGACTCAGCCCCCTGAGTTGCTGGGACCCCAGGTGCATACCACCACACCTGGCTGATTTTTAAATTTTGGTTTTTTAGAGATGAGGGTCTCACTGTGTTGCCCGGAGTGGGATCAAACTTCTAGTCTCAAGTGATCCTCCCACCTTGGCTTCCCAAAGTGCTGGGATTACCAGCACAAGCCACCATGCCCAGCCCACTCCACTTTTAAACCTAAACATATAAGAAACAAGAAAGAAGAATATGTAAGTTGTGACTCTGGGTATTAAACCAATAAGGAAAATAACCCTGCATTTTAACATGAGATGAGAAGAAATGAAAAACCCAGGCTATGCTTTTTAAAATTTGGGTTATAATGAAAAATAAGTTATGCTTTGAGATGGTTCTACTAAAAATAACTCACTCTGGGTAACACAGTCTTTCATTTGTGAATACAACCTAGCTTGGTGGGAAAATGGCATGATCAAGAGTAGTAGTCAGCAAACTTTTTCTGTAACTGGCCAGATAATATTTTGAGCTGTGCAGGCCACACCCAGTGCATGTGTATATGTGCGTCTGTGTCTGTATTTGTGTATGCACATATTTGTTTAAAACCTTATAAAAGTAAAAACCATTCATAGTTTCAGTGCTGTGCAAAAACTGGGCACAGGCTAGATTCGGCTCTTGGACTCCAGATCTGGAATCTGATGACTTGGTTTGGAGGCTCACCTGCATAAATTGCTATTGCAGTGTGTGGCATTGACAAGTCATTTGCTTCCTTTCGTCTTACTTTCCTCACTGTGCGAAAGGCATGCTAGTACTTTACCTGTTCCCATACGGTGTGTTGTGAGGAACAGAAGCAAAATTTAAAAAGTACTAGGTTATCAGCAGCAGGGACTTTGGAGCCAGACAAACCTGAGTTCAGTTTTACCACCTATTAGTTGTGTGACTTTGGGCAGGTTACTCCATCTCTGTACCTCAGGGGGCTAAAAGTAGTAAGTGCAGAGCCCTGGGCACATGATAGACACTCCATGCATGGTGGCCACTCTTACTGTTTTTGATAAGTACTTGGAGGAAATCATACACTGTGTATGTGATGACCTATACATTGTGTCACCATGTTGCTCACTGTGAATCTAGCTTTGATGTACATGGCATTCTTACAGAGTAATTCCTAATATTTATATTTCAAAAACAGCTTTAGACAGCCAGCACAGTTTGAGGTACAAGGGTCAGTTGCCTTGTCTGAGTCTGGAAGCTATACTGTACCTCACTTGTGTGTCTGTCTCTTTGAAGATGTTTTACTTGGAAAGTCAGTGTCAGAGTTAGACAACTTTGTTTTAGGGAGATAGTTACTAGCTGTAAGAGAGAATCAGCAGGCCAAAGGGGAAAGGGGAAGAGGTTAGTAAGTAGAAAATATTTTGGTAGTCTACATCTTTCCCACATTGCACTCATTTTCACTGGCATTTGACAGGGCCCTATAGGGACTCAGACTGTCCCTGTCTGTCCTATTATCCGGAGCTTGTTGAGGCTTGTATTGTCATTCTCTGAATTGATTTATTTAATAACCAAGTATTTATTGAGCTCCTATGTACTGGGGATAGAAATAACTCATCATCATTCCTGCCTTCAAGGAATACAGTATAGTAGAGGAAATGAGCACATAAACAAGTGCAGTGCTTTGTGGTGAACACTGCTAGAGTGAGCTCGCTCGGCTGGGCACTTTGGCTCAGGCCTGTAATCCTAGCACTTTGGGAGGCAGAGGTGGGCGGATCACCTGAAGTCAGGAGTTCGAGACCAGTCTGGCCAACATGGTGACACCCCGTCTCTACTAAAAATACAAAAATTAGCCAGGCATGGTGGCACATGCCTGTAATCCCAGTTACTGGGGAGGCTGAGGCAGGAGAATCACTGGAACCTAGAATGTGGGAGGCAGAGGCTGCAGTGAGCCTAGATGGTGCCACTGCTTTCCAGCCTCTGTCTCTGGGTGACAGAGTGAGACTCCAGCTCAAAAAAAAAAAAAAAAAGTGAGCTCACAAAAAAATCGGTTCTGCTTATTGATTTAGGAGCTTTCTCAGGTGATTGAATTAGAAGTTAATTTGGCCAAGGGAGTTGCCTGAGCAGAGGGATACAGGTGTTAAGAGTGGTATATTGAGGACCCACAGTTATTTCATTGTGGCCAAGCTGCATTTAACAAAGTAGAGATGAGATTGGACAGGTGGGAAGGGGCAACAAGACCATGGAAGACACTGGATACTATGTTTAGGAATACAGGGTTTCTCCTATAGGAGACGAAGGATTCAAAGTTCCTTCATGACATACTCAGACTGTTCTAGAAGCTTGCTTTCAGAGGTGAGAAGAGATTACCATTTGTGCCACCTGCTGGCAAGTTTCCTATAAGCTGCTCAAATTCCCTGTTCCAATGCAAAGAGCTGCTTTACCAGAGGCATTTTGGGTAGAATAGTATAGGGCTAAATTCATGAAAGCTTAGCTTTGAAGCATCAATAAGATTTAGTAGCTTACTTTTTTTCCTCAAGGAATTACTTGTTAATATATGGTATCTCGCTGATAAAGATAAAAATAAAACAAAACAAAATGTCTGTTTAATAGGTTTGAAATTGAAATTTCTTGATCCCAACAATATTCCCAAGGCCTCAATGACAAGTGGTTTGGTTCAGCAGTTTCAACACACAGTCCTTCCCTCAGTGACTCCCTTGGCAACCCTCATCTGCACACTGATTGCCATATTGGTAAGAACTCAACAGATGGTACTCATTTCTTAAGTTTTCTCTGCTTTCCTTTTGTCTGGCTGATTAAATTTCAACTTTCAAGCTCTTCCAACTGTAGGATAAATTTCATGCCTGTAATCCTTCTGCAGATTGAAGCATTTCCTAGCAATTCTTAGAGTAACTTTGAACACCATAAGGAAGGATTACCAGTAAAGCCTCTGTGAGAGATTCTTGCCAGTGGCTGTTAGACCATCTGTTCACCCTGGGGGAAGGGAAAAAGAAAAGCCCAGGGAGGAAGAGGCATGGATCATGCTGCGAAGAAAAGAAGGAAATGTTTGTGGCAGGGACATCCAGATTTGGTTTGTTTTTCTCATCCTTAGCTAAATCATCAAAATTCCAAATGTATCTGGACAGCGTGGATGTTTTGTCTTGATGGTGATAATGAGTTGAGAGAGTCGACAATGGCTTTTTGAACCTAAGATGAGTCTAATATGAGTAAGATGCTCTTAGAGGCCTCATTCTAAGTACTTTAGAAATTTTCGTTTCTAAAATTTCATTAGTGATTACAGTGACTTCAATTTCATGGTATAATTTTAGTAGAATTCAATATAAACAACTCAATCCTTTTGATAATTACACTCATCTTTAATTTTGGTTTCTGAATGTTTCAAACCTGCTAGCAACCACCTGACTCCACTTAATTACATGGCAGTACAGGTATGTAGATAATTAAGCTCTGTTGGCCTGTTTGTTCACAGATTTTAATTGAGGTAAAACGTTTTTCCTAAAATTTCAGCCTTATGAGGTACATATAGTTTCTATGGCCTTCCAGCCCATAAAACTAGATATTTGTTAATATGGTAAATCTAATTTATTGGCTCAAAAGTATCTATGGACTTCTGTAGTTTGACTTATTAGGTTCATTAATAAGTGAACTATTAGTAAACTATGAAGATATAGTAAGTTGTTAGACGGTATATCACAGAACTTAATTATTAATTTTGATAGTATAATTAATTTTTTTTTTTTTTTTTTGAGACAGAGTCTTACTCTGTCGTCCAGGCTGAAGTGCAGTGGTGATTCTCCTGCCTCAGCCTTCCGAGTACCTGGGATTACAGGCACCTGCTACCGCACTCGACTAATGTTTTTGCAGTTTTTTTGTTTTTGTTTTTGTTTTTTGAGACGGAGTCTTGCTCTCTCGCCAGGCTGGAGTGTAGTGGCGCGATCTCAGCTCACTGCAACCCCCACCTCCCGGGTTCAAGTGATTCCCCTGCCTCAGCCTTCTGACTAGCTGGAACTATAGGCGCATGTCACCACACCCGGCTAATTTTTTTTTTTATTTTAGTAGAGACAGGGTTTCACCATGTTGGCCAAGATGGTCTCGATCTCCTGACCTCGTGATCCACCCACCTCGGCCTCCCAAAGTTCTGGGATTACAGGTGTGAGCCACCACACCCGGCCTTTTTTGTAGTTTTTAGTAGAGACGGGGTTTCACCATCTTGGCCAGGCTGGTCTTGAATTCCTGACCTCGTGATCCACTCACCTCAGCCTCCCAAAGTTCTAGGATTACAAGCATGAGCCACCACGCCTGGCCAATTTTTTTTTTTTTTTGAGACAGAGTCTCGCTCTGTCACCTAGGCTGAAGTGCAGTGGTGCAATTTAAGCTCACTGCAACCTCTGCCTCCCGGGTTCAAGCGATTCTCTTGCCTCAGCCTCCAGAGTACTAGGGAATACAGGTATGTGCCACCATACCCAGCTAATTTTTTTTTTGTATTTTTAGTAGAGATGAGTTTCACTCGTTGGTCAGGCTGTTCTTGAACTCCTAACCTCAAGTGATCTGCCTGCCTTGGCCTCCCAAAGTGCTGGGATTATAGGCATAAGCCACCATGCCCAGCCAGTAGAATTAATTTTAATGAGTTAACGATACACATCAAGACCAGGTGTGGTGGCTCAAACCTGTAATCCCAGCACTTTGGGAGGCCAAGGCGGGCAGATCACGAGGTCAGGATTTCGAGACCAGCCTGGCCAACATGGTGAAACCCTGTCTCTATTAAAAATACAAAAATTAGCTGGGCGTGGTGGCAGGCACCTGTAATCCCAGCTACTCGGGAAGCTGAGGCAGGAAAATCACTTGAACCCGGGAGGCAGAGGTTGCAGTGAGCTGAGATCGTGCCACTGCACTCCAGCCTGGGCGACAGAGCGAGACTCCATCTCAAAAAATATATATATATACATATATATATATACACACACACACACACACACACATCAAATGCCAATTTTTTCTGAGTTGTTGCTTTTATGATAACTTTTGTTAGACTGTGCACAAAGTGATCAATGATTTGGTTTCATGAAGAATTGTCTAAGATCTGCTGTCTCTCAGAGATGATGCAAATTGTATTCACCTGAACTCTGTTTCTGTAAAGTCTATTTCAAATGATACTGAAGTTTATCTTTGCCTGTTGTTTCTAGCCCTCTATTTTCTGTCTTTGGTTTAAACCCCAAGGGCCCAGAGGCTTTCTCCGATGTCTAACTCTTTGTGCCTTGAGCTCCTTTATGTTTGGTTGGCATGTTCATGAAAAAGCCATACTTCTAGCAATTCTCCCAATGAGGTAAGCAGATAGCTCAGCCAGTGAGCATTTTGGCATATTTCACAATGTTCCTATTTTCTATTTGCTCTGTCCCTTCTTGGTCATCTTCACCAGGATAGGCAAAAACAAAGATGTATAGGAACAGATTTCCTTCTACTAGGACAGGACAGGGATGCTTAACTTGGGATTCTTGGACCCATGAAGGTAGGCAAAAATGCATGTACTATTTCTGTTTCTGCCTTTTTGGAAAGAAGCACTGTAGTGATTAAGTACCATGAAAGCCGGCTTTTAGATCTGATCATTGAGGGGCAGTATGTTATAGAAAAAGCCTGGGCTGGCCCGGCACGGTAGCTCACGCCTCCAAAGCTCAGCACTTTAGGAGGCCGAGGTGGGCATATCACGAGGTCAGGAGATCGAGACCATCCTGGCTAACATGGTGAAACCTCGTCTTTACTGAAAATACAAAAACTTAGCCGGGCGTGGTGACACATGCCTGTAGTCCTAGCTACTAGAGAGGCTGAGGCAGGAGAATCACTTGAACCCGGGAGGAGGAGGTTGCAGTGAGCTGAGATTGCACCACTGCATTCCAGTCTGGGTGACCGAGTGAGACTCCGTCTCAAAAATGAAAAAAAGAAAAAGCCTGGGCTTTGGCATCATCCCGTCTGAAAATAAGGTTCCATGGTTCCTTGTTAAGTGTTGTTAGTCAAAGTAAGGATTTAGTCTCTTCTGGAATAATACCTGATACTGTACTACATTTCAGATTTTCCAGAACTGTTTTTGTTTTGCATTCTTTCTTTTGAGCCTCACAGTAATCTTTAAGATAAAGGGCCAGGCATGGTGGCTTACATCTGCAATCCCAGTATTTTGGGAGGCTGAAAAGTGGTGGGTCACTTGATGCCAGGAGTTTGAGATCAGCCTGGCCAACATGGCAAAACCCCATCTCTACTAAAAATACAAAAATTAGCCAGGCATGGTGGTGTATGCTTGTAATCCCAGCAACTTGGGAGGCTGAGGCATGAAGATCCTTTGAACCTGGGAGGCGAAGGTTGCAGTGAGCCAAGATGGCGCCATTGCACTCCACCCTGGGGCAATAGAGCGAGACCTGTCTCAAAAAAAAAAAAAAAAAAAAAAGATAAAATAAATGGGTATTATTCCCTTTTTTTTTTCTTTTTTTTCTTTTTGGTAGAGACAAGGTCTTGCCATGTTGCCTAGGCTGGTCTCAAACTCCTGGGCTCAAGCAGTCTTCTACCTCAGTCTCCCAAAGTGCTGGGATTGCAGGCGTGAGCCACCAAAACAAGCTTATTCTCTGTCTTAACATCTGAAGAATCTAGGGCTCAAAATGTCTGTGACTTATCCAAAGTCACACAGGTCGCAAGAATTAGAGTTAGGACCTGAATCTTATGATGTTGAGTCTATGATCTTTTCACTATGCCATGCTAAAAAAAACCATTTTAAATGTAATAGTGTCCAATTTAGGCATAGTTGAAACCCAATAGATAGATAAATGGTAATAATAACCTTTTTCTTGATATTTTTCTTAAATCTTGAGAAATCATTTAAGCTCTGAAAGTACATTAAGCAAATTTGTTAGGCCAGTATATGGCTTGTCTGGGTTCATTTAGTAGCTTGGAGTTTCCAAATTAAAAAGTAAAGCAAAAACTTTTAATGTCTTTAGTCTGAATTCACACCGAACACCAGCAGGTCAAGGGCATTGTCCAACAGATGAGCTATAGGGTTGGAAATGAAACTCCAAGTCCTGTTTCCCTGACTGCCACCACTAGGCAGCTCCCAATCCCACAACATTCCTGTCTTTGGAGAAGGCGATTACTCAGGGAAGCAAGATTCTTTTTTTTTTTTTTTAGAGACAGAGTCTCGCTCTGTCACCCAGGCTGGAGTGCAATGGCATGATCTCGGCTCACTGCAACCTCTGCCTCCCAGGTTCAGGCGATTCTCCTGCCTCAGCCTCCTGAGTAGCTGGGATTACAAGCGCCCACCACTATGCCCAGCTAATTTTTGTATTTTAAGCAGAGATGGGTTTTCACCATGTTGGCCAGGCTGGTCTTGAACTCCTGACCTCAGTTGATCCTCCTGCCTTGGCCTCCCAAAGTGCTGGGATTAGAGGCATGAGCCACTGTGCCCAGCCAGAAGCAAGATTCTTTTATGATACCCCTGATTCAGTTTGATACATGCTATTGATTGCTTAAAGTTTCCTACTAGAAAATTAATATTCTCAACTAAATTGAACTTGTGGCAAAATCATCATGTTCTTTTATGCCTAAGCCAGTTCTAATGTAATAAGAGATGCAGTTTATTTAAGCTATTTGCAAGTGTAATATCAGTTGTTGTTTTAAGAAATTATTTTTATTTTTAGCCTTTTGTCTGTGCAAAAAGCAGGAGATGCTTCGATTTTTCTGATTCTGACCACAACAGGACATTATTCCCTCTTTCCTCTGCTTTTCACTGCACCAGGTAAACAGCTTCTTTTGAGAAAGATATATTTGACTATCACACCCTTTTCATCGAGGCCTAGAGATTAATACATCTGATTTAAACAACCCTAAAATCTCTTGGAAGGAGAGAGATCATTCATCTTCTTAAATAAAAACCTCCAATTTCCCCTAATTCTCAGCATCTCTGGATGTCACAAAAATGTAAAATTAAACTTAAAAAACATTATTAGCATTATATAGCTGTGTCAGTGTGCTTATATTACTTTCAGCATCATGAGTCTTTCTCTCATCAGCTCAATTATCTTTTCTTTTTCTGTTCTTTTAACAGAACTTCCCATTAAAATCTTACTCATGTTACTGTTCACCATATATAGTATTTCGTCACTGAAGACTTTATTCAGGTAATCCAAAAAAAAAAGTTTAAAATTATACTTACTCTTGTGAAATGTTTACACCTAAATGGTCAGATAAGCTTTTTAAATTTTATTTTTAAGTTATAACAGTAATATGACAACATTACAAAAACCATTGGTAAATAGAGGGAGAAATCACTCAATCCCATCACTCAGGCGAGACAACATAGTTTGTGTCTTTAGTTTGGGGGATTATTTGAGGAGGACTACTTAAAATAAAATCTTACATGAAAACTCAAAAACTGAATGTAAAATATGCTTTATGAATAAAGCTATTAAATACAGATGCATATGGAAAAAACCAGAAGTTACTATGGTTTTTTTTTTGTTTGTTTTTTTGAGATGGAGTTTCACTCTTGTTGCCCAGGCTGGAGTGCAATGGCGTGATCTTGGCTCACTACACCCTCCGCCTACTGGGTTCAAACTATTCTCCTGCCTCTGCCTCCTGAGTTACTGGGATTACAGGCATGCGCCACCATGCCCAGCTAATTTTTGTTTGTTTGTCTGTTTGTTTGTTTGTTTTTGGAGACGGAGTTTCATTCTTGTCGCCTAGGCTGGAGTGCAATGTCGCGATCTCCACTCACTGCAACTTCTACCTCCTCAGTTTAAGCGATTCTCCAGCCTCAGCCTCCCGAGTAGCTGAGATTATAGGCATGCGCCACCAACACGACAGGCTAATTTTTTGTATTTTTAGTAGAGATGGGGTTTCACCATGTTGGCCGGGCTGCTCTCGAGCTCCTGACGTCAGGTGATCTACCCACCTCGGCCTCCCAAAGCACTGGGATTACAGGCGTGAGCTGCTGTGCCCGGCTAATTTTGTATTTTTAGTAGAGACGGGGTTTCTCTATGTTGGTCAGGCTGGTCTTGAACTCCCAACCTCAGGTGATCCATCCACCTCAGCCTCCCAAAGGTCTGGAATGACAGGCATGAGCCACTGCGCCTGACTGTGTGCAAATTTTTACTACAGAATTATAGGTGGAAACTTTTTCTTTTCTAAACCATATGTAATGTTAACTATAATTTTTTTTTTGAGACAGAGTTTCACTGTTATTGCCCAGGCTGGAGTGCAATGGCACGATCTCCTGCCTCAACCTCCCAAGTAGCTGGGATTACAGGCCTGTGCCACCCTGGTCGGCTAATTTTTGTATTTTTAGTAGAGATGGGGTTTCTCCATGTTGGCCAGATTGGTCTAGAACTCTTGACTCTGGCCTTGGCTATAATAATTGACAACAAGACAGTGCAGATGGGGAAGCTTTAGCTAGGAAATGTTTGCTAAACCAGGATGACTCATCTAAAATCAGACTTTTCTATCCTTTTTCCTTCAGAAAAGAAAAACCTCTTTTTAATTGGATGGAAACTTTCTACCTGCTCGGCCTGGGGCCTCTGGAAGTCTGCTGTGAATTTGTATTCCCTTTCACCTCCTGGAAGGTGAAGTACCCCTTCCTCCCTTTGTTACTAACCTCAGTGTATTGTGCAGTAGGCATCACATATGCTTGGTTCAAACTGTATGTTTCAGTATTGATTGACCCTCCTGTTGGCAAGACAAAGAAACAATGAATAAAGGAACTGCTTGGATGTGTGCCAAGCAATTATTTCATGGGAAATTAACCAGAACTTGAAGAAAGTTGCCAGTGGTATCAGCCATTCGTAGAACTGTTTAGAGCACCATTCTTCCTCACTTACTCTTGCCCAGCCTAGCAACCTGATTGTCACCATGGTGAGAAGCCACTAGCCCTCCATAAGCACTGAAACACATCTGAAAAAAAATTTCGCCTTTCCCTGTTAAAATTGTCTGAGATCATTCAGACTGCTGTGCTTGCTCAAGCCAAACAGGGAGTCTGATTAACTGCATAATTACTTGTAGCCTATGCTAACCATTGTGAGGATATAAAGCATAATTAGAATCCTGTGCTAAGGAAATATAAATGAAATGCCATTTTGTATGCACAAAAAAACTTCTGGATTGTTACCAGCTGCTACATTTTCTTCTTGGCACGTACACAGGCAGATGGTGTACTGTCCCCATTCTGTACACCTTGTTCCAGATTTTTTTTCTTTGAAATTATACAGTGACAATACTCACAAAGCCAAGGGGAGTAGTTAAGGTACTGGTTTGGTCAGGCAGCAGAAACTACAAACCACAGCTACTTTACATTGATTTAAAGATATCTCGTGCAGCTCATTTATTCTAACAGCAAGCACTGCAGTTTTTATAAGGTGGCCACTTAAACCTTTCATCATGTGCAGGAACTGAAGTAGTTTTTGCAGTCTGGTTCTTATCCTTTCTCTTCCTTAAGAGTACTTCATAAACGCTTTTTATCTAGGACCCCAATTTGCGTAATACCTGCCACACATTCAAATTCAGCCAACATTTATCTAGCCAACAGTAGGAACTTTCACCATGTTATTTTATTTCTATTTTATTTTTCAGCCCTCAGGCAGAATTCATACATTTTATTTACCCATTATCCGCTAAGATCAGAGAGACACCAAGGTCAATGGCATTCTGAGATGGAATCCAGCTATTCCATCTCTTCCGTCTACTCCATTTTCTAAGACTTCTTTTGGGTCTGTTATTGCAGAGACAAAGATGGGGATCTTGCCAAAGAGGGAGGGAAGTGTAGCCCCTCTAACCTATTTTCCTTCCCACAGTCTCTTCTCCACCCTGTGTTCCAGCTGGCCTAACAGCTTCAAACTCCCCATGTGCCATGCTGTCTTGTACCTCTGTTCCCTTTCATTCATGCTGCTTCCTCTCCTCTCTGCTGACTTTTCTACCCTGTCATCTGATTATATGAACCTCTTCAAGATTAGCTTAACTGCTGCCATGTCTATGAATATAAAGGCAGAATGGTGTAGTGATTAAGAGTAGGGGCCTTTAAGTCATATGGCCTGGTTGTAAATCTTGCCTCTATCATTTTTTTTAAATCTGTAGGCAGGTTATTTAACCATCTTTTATCTGAATGTTCTCATCTCTAAAATGATTACATAAAAGATTTAGAACACTGCCTGATTCATTTTAAGTGCTCAGTCAATAGCATTGCTATTTATGTGAATCTTTTCCTATCCCTCTACCTTCTTCCCTCCTCCCCAAGAATTGAGTTGCTCCCACTGTGCCAGGAGTCTGCTGATACCATTAACTGCTGTAATACTGTATTATGCTTGTTTACCTCTTTTCTCCAGGAGACTAGCAGTTTGAGAGCAGAAGACCACACTTGTCTTCATAGCCCCAGTTTTTAGCACAGTTAAATGAATGAATGAAGCACACCAAACAAGCCATGATTAAAACCTAAATATTTTACTAGTACAGACGTAACACAAAGGACCAGCATAGTTCCTCACATCTTTGCTGTTGTCCAAGCCAAAAAAAAAAAAAGTAGAAGATGAATTTGGATGCATTTCAACATGACCAAATTTACTTTGTTGGTTGTTATTGTGAAAGTGATGTGATGTCAGAATGGGAAGAGCTCATCTACTGTAGAGATTTCCAGAATGTTCTGTAGAGCACTGGAGGTTCTTCAGTGTTGCCTCAGAGTCCCTGGGCTCTATGCATAGTAAATCGCTTTGATCTCTTTCATATATTCATGTGGCTTCATATACATTTTCATTTGACTTCAAAGTCCAAATATAGTCTTAAAACAGTTCAGCTGAGCACAGTGACCCACACTTGTAATCCCAGCACTTTGGGAGCCTGAGGCAGGTGGATCACTTGAGCCCAGGAGTTCAAGACCGGCCTGGGCAACATAGTGAGACCCTTTGAATACAAAAAATCAAAAAATTAGCCAAGCGTGGTGGCACATGCTGTAGTCCCAGCTACTCAGGAGACTGAGGTGGGAGGATCACTTGAGTCCTGGAAGTCGAGGCTACGTGAGCTGTGATCACACCACTATATTCCAGCCTGGGGAAGTAAGCAAGACCCTGTCTCAAAAAAAAAAAAAAAAAATTTCAATGTCTTATATTACCAGGAGGGAAATGGCTCCAGACTGAAGAATACCTTGTTGGTGCCAACACAGACTAGAATCTAGACTTCTTGTCTACAACCCAGGATTCTTTTATTCTTTTCCAATCACTATACTTTGTAATCATATTTTAAAACTTTACAGAGATATGGGTGGTTTTCAACAACAAATTCCTAAATTTCAGCAGTCAATAAATGAACTGCTGGTGGCGTCTGGTGGCTCATAGCACTTTGGGACACCAAGGCAGGAGGATCACTGGAGTCCAGGAGTTCAAGACCAGCCTGGGTGACATAGTGAGACCGAGCTCTACAAAAATAAAAATTAGCCAGGCGTGGTGGCCTGTGCCTGTAGTCTCAGCTACTCAGGAAGCTGAAGTGGGAGAATCACTTGAGCCCAGGCAGTTGAGGCTGCAGTGAGCCATGATCCTGCCAACGCACTCCAGCCTGAGTGACAGAGCGAGACCCCATCTTAAAAAAAAAAAAAAAGGAAATGCTGTTTCAAAATATTTTGAAATCTAGAATTAAGCAAAATTTAAGAACAAGATAATGTTATCAAAATGTAAACAAATAAGATACATAACTCATTTCTTACCTACTACTTAATGTATATGCAATGTGCCACAATTTAAGAAGATAAAAGAATAGGTAGTAGGACTTTGTGTTCTTGATCACTGTATCTTTCCTCAGGTGGAGGCATAGAGCCAGAACTGGGCAGGAACTATTGGGAGGATGTGCTCTTTCTAGCCCAACTCTGGTATAGTGTTTCTTGTTAATGACTTCCACCCTGAAACTTTGTGAAGGAAGCACTCAGTATCAGAATTGCCTCCTAGATATAGCCCATGCGGCTTCTGTTTGCAGTTAATAGGAAAGAAAACATGCCAATAAAATAATGACCTTTGAAAAAGATGTGTTTATTTTTTATTAAAATGTCAATTTTGTGCACATATTTGATTTTAATTGCATCATGAGTCATCTGTTAAAAAGAGTTCGAACATTTGTTTTTAGATATATTTCTCTTTAAGATGAAATTACACTTATAGCATGCTGTTGGTTTTTTTTAAAAATCCATCTATCCCTGTGTTTGTTCTCCAAAGAAATTGGCTACTGTGCTAATGGCAGCTGAGATTGGAACAATCATATAAACCTTAAAAGCTTGAAGCAGTATAGCCATTCATTTCTCACAATGTAGTCCCATATTCAGCATCTCCATTTTATACAAAGGTCAATAAAGGTACTAATTTTTTTTTTCAAACTATGGAGTCAGAAACAAAAACAATATACGTCGGGTGTGGTGGCTCACGCCTGTAATCCCAGCACTTTGGGAGGCTGAGGCGGGTGGATCACTTGAGATCAAGAGCTTGAGACCAGCCTGGCCACTTGGTGAAACTCTATCTCTACTAAAAACACAAAAATTAGCCAGGCGAGGTAGTGGGTACCTGTAATCCCAGCTACTCAGGAGGCTGAGGCAGGAGAATTGCTTCAACCCGGAAGGCGGAGGTTGGAGTGAACTGAGATTGCACCACTGCACTCCAGCCTGGGTGACAGAGCTAGACTCTGTCTTTAAAAAGAAAAACAACAAAAATATTTGTACTGATAAAGTGACTATGAAAGGGACACCACTCAGTATACCTCTGTACAATACTCTCAAAAGAGACTTTATAAGAATTTCAGAGTCCTAGAAAGGCTTTCAGAAGAACATTCCATATATTTTTTATTATTTTTAATATTATTATTATTGTTGTTTGAAGATGGAGTCTCACTCTGCAGCCCAGGCTGGAGTGCAGTGGCACAATCTCGGCTCACTGCAACCTCCGCCTCCTGGGTTCAAGCCTCAGCCTCCTGAGTAGCATGCCGCCACGCCCAACTAATTTTTTGTATTTTAGTAGAGATGGGGTTTCACCATGTTGCCCAAGCTGGTCTCGAACTCCTGAGCTCAGGCAATCAACCTGCCTCGGCCCCCCAAACTGCTGGGATTACAGGCATGAGTCACCACACCTGGCCAGATTTATTAATTTTTTTAGTGATTTTCTGAAAAAGATAGTTGATTAAAGCAGGATGGGAGTGCTCACCTCTCAAAGCAGCCCCTCCCATATGTGCAGCTGTTTGTTAGGGCATTTTTAATGATGAATTAATATTTTTCCTTCTCTGACTTTGTCCTATCGGTTTCTGGAGCAGAACATACTGGGGGTCTACTCATATTTAAATAACAGCCCTTCAAGTGATACAGAAGGTAAACCCCATACTGTTATGTGCCAAGTACAGTACTAAACATTACATCTCTTAATCCCTACTAAAACTGCAAATGAAATCCATTATCACTTCACAAAAATATTTAATGAATTTTTATTGAGTGTTATGCATTGTGCTCAATGCTGGAGATCAAAAAGTGGACAAGAAAACCATATTGCTGTCCACAAGGAATTTATATTCTAGTGGCTAGAGGGTCCTAAGAGCAAAGAAGAGTAGAGAAATTGAAGTTGGAGAAGTAGGCAGCACCCAAATCATGTGGGAATTTGATTTTAAGTCAAATGGGAACAAATGGGTTTCAGATTTTCTGAGTTATACTTTCATGTAGATGGAGCAAAATTCATGAGGTCCCCAGCTACCCAGTTCCCCTACC